CCGCCACTCACAGCAACACTCACAGCCCCTCCCCTGCCTGCCTCCCCACCTGCTGGTGCTGAGGGTGAAGCCAGGCCAGGGGCCGGGACCGGAGCGCAGCCCTACCCCTCCAGCTGCTCACTCTGGAGGCCTGCATGGAGGAGGCCTCCCAGCGGACCGGATGGGCTGTTTCCCCGGAGGCACCGCCCTCCAGCCCATGGGTGGAGGCTCCTGCTGGGCCGTGGAGCTGTCCACGGTGCTGGACGCGGCTTCTCCTTTTTTGCCCTGGCCCTGGCTGGGGGCTGAGCTAGGAAAATAATTCGGACACTCAGGCAGGTTTGCCATGTCTTCTCATTTGGGAGGCGGCAGAGCACCTGTGACTGCTCCCATTCTAGCAGGAGGGACTGAGGTGCCGGGCAGTTAAACCAGCCCAGGCTCGCACAGGCGGGAGGTAGGACTCCAACCCGGGCTGCCCGCCCCTTGCCCGAGTGCACGAGGACCCGGCACAGGGCCTGCCTGGCACACACAGGTGCCCATGCGCACTGTGAAGGGGATGAGAACTATTACCCAGAGGCGCCTGGCCACGGGGGAGGGGATCACCCCGCCAGAGTCAGGTTAGGGCCGGGCTGCTGCCTGGGGCCGTGGAAGGTCTGTGAGGGCGCAGGGACCCAGGCCAGGGGCAAAGTGCTGTGTTCGTACCCAGGTGATTTTCTGAGAGTGGGTCTCTGGATTCGCCAGGCCCCCCAGGGACCCACACGACTCACTCACAGACGTCAGACCAGGAGACTCACAGTTCTCCTCAGCCTGCCCCAGGGAGGCGGCCAACAGGGACCACTCCCCTTGCCACCGCCCCCCTGTCCCCTGTGCCAGGCTGGGAGCCCGCCTCTCACCCGGGCTCCTCCCCACTTCCGGCTCCAGGCCCGATGCCCTCAGCCTCCTCCCAGCGTCCCTGCCCTCGCCCTGGCTTCATCCTTCCCCGGTTCCCGCCTGACCCCGAGGTGCCCACAGCCCAGGACCCACTTCCCGCTGGGAGCGGCTGGCCCCCCTCCCCGGTCTGCGGATGAGCCCTGAGCTGTTGGGGAGGCCCTGCACGGCCAGCCTGGGCAGCCACCCGACTTCCCCCCAAACGACATGTACATTTAACATGCGTCCTTGCTGACCCCAGAGAGGAAGGGGAGAGGGAGAAACAGCAGTGATGAGAGAGGCAGGGATCGCTGCCTCCTGGGCGCCCTCCACTGGGGATGGAGCCTGAAACCCGGGCCTGTGCCCTGACTGGGAACAGAACCGTGACCTCCTGGCTCATAGGTTGAAGCTCAACCGCCAGCCGTGGGGACAGGGCCCAGATAAGATTTAGTGGCAGGTCCTCCCACCGTCTGGGCTGTCTGCCCTCCCAGGTGAGGGGGTGCGATCCCACCTCTCTGTCCCT